TTTTCACTAAAACCCTATTTTACTGGAACCAGCATTGAAAAAATACCACATTTTATTCAAAACAAGGCAATATTGGTATTGACAGAGCTGCGGTGATAATGAGGGCGATCAATTTTTCCTCCTCCATTATGGGGTATTGAGTAGATTTTGGAGTAAACTTGTGGCATCATTAGACAAGATCAGCATTTCTCCCCTTTGAAAACTTTTTCTTTCTTTTCTTCTTCTTTTAATTTGCATTTTAAGTATTCTCGCTTTATTGAAAACAAAAGCAAAAAGTCCCAAAAGCAATATGTGAAGTGCTGGTAAAAACAAAACTAGAGATTGTAGACATTTCTTCTTAGTTGTTTTCTTATAAATTGTACATTGTGACATTGTTTTTGCATATAGTTTCATACAAACTGTCTCCCCAACTTTCATCCGAAGTTGAAAGAGTATAGTTATCAAATAAAATAACCTAAGTTAAGAGGGTGGATATTTCTTTTCTTTTTGAGAAAAATAGGGAAGAAAGAAGCAGAAATACAGGCTCTAGGCTCTGGTGGAATGCAGGGAGAGCACTGAAAATTTCATAAGACCAGGGGAGAGGAAGTCAAGGAGTTAGGGCAGACACATGGAAGAGCTTCTCGAAGTAAAAGTGACATAATAATTTAGTGCAAATTAATTTATGCATTTCTACTTTGGTTTCTGGTACCTGTTGGGGTACTTATGTCCATCCACCAACTCCCGCTGGCTGTGCAAATACATTTACAGGAACGATGGTCATCTCCCTCTGAGGGATGAGTGACCTCTCCTTGGAATCAGGGATGTCATGTGATCAGGCTAATAGCAACTTTGGCAAAACAGGGACATTTTAGAGCAAAGAAATCCTACCTCCTAGGATATGACCCTGAAAAACAATTCTAATACAGCATCCCCACCCCCTGCAGTTTTTTTCCCCAAGAAATGTGATCTTTCAGAAGTAATTCACCAGACCTTTCTTCTGAGCCTCACAGTGGCTTCAAACCACCAACCTTTCAGTTAGTAGCCAAATGCCACCTAGGGATTCCTTGACCAGTGCAATCTTTAAATCAGAAATACTATTGAAAGATATTTTAAAGAGGAATTTCAATGTGATGCTATCAGTTAAAGGCAATAATTATAATTGTCATGTATTTAGAAGGCAGGTGGGAGGAAGTGGAAGTGTGAGCTGTGTCACCTATTGATCTTTTTTAAAAATCTAGAAACTAGTGATAAACAGTGTAAATATTTTTCCCCCCATACATTTTGGTCCTTGAAGCATATATGCCACAGAACTGTGTTAAATAGCTTGTTGAAAATGTTATCTTATTTGTTTTCTGTTCCTCGGTGACACAGATTTACTCTTGCCCTTCTCTGGATGAGGTTCCTCCCTAGATGACTGAACATATGGAGAAAGTCCAAAGCCACGTCCATTGAGACTATTTCAATTCATAGTGACCCCCACTGGGTTTCTGAGGCTGTAAATCTTTACAGAAACAGATTGCCTCAGCTTTCTTCTGTGGAGCTGCTGATGGGTTTGAACCACTGACCTTGTGGTTAGCAGCCAAATGCCTTTTCCATTATACCACCAGAGCTCCTATGGAGATAGTAGTATGTGGGAAATGTGGAAAGAACATTGGGAAATCATCTTCACCCCTCCACCCTGAACACAGTAAATTCTCAGTTGTAGCACATCTTATGCTGTGAGAAGACAGTTCGTCAATTCACCTGCCTCACCTTGACTTTGCCATTTCCTTGAGAGCAGGGACAGTGTCTTATTCATCTTGAATTTCTAGAACTTTACACAGAACTGGACATGGTGAAACCTAAAAAAAAAAAAAAAAAAAAAAAACCAAACACACTGGCATCAAGTTGGTTACCATGAGTTGATTTATGGTAGAGATGTTTAATGCTTGTTTGAGGAGATAAGGAAGCAAAGGCATAAAATGCAAAAATGAAGGTAGTTTCTCAGGTTGAAAGTGGTGCTGAAGCAGGGTCTCAGGTGCATGGTTGAGAGAGGGTCTCAGGAGAAGGACAGCAAGGGAGGCAGCATGGTGCAGGGGAGGAATGGATAGAAGATGTGGTATGAGTGGATATCTAGCTTCAGGCTGATCTCATGGGTAGCTCTAGAACAATTCCTGCAGTCTCAGAGGAGCCAACTTCATTGACTATACTCTATTGTGCATCTCTGTGTGTTATGTAATCTCCTAGGCAAGGCAGTTCCCACTTAGCTGAGGATAGCCTTCCAGGGAAGGGATGGCTTTGATGAGTACTCCCATCTGGAGCAGAAAGTCTAGGTGAGCATCGACAGAGTCAGTCATGACCCAAACCCAAAAAATTCACTGCCATCAAGTTGATTCTGATTGATAGGTATCTGATAAGGTGGGGTAAAACTGCCTCATAGGGTTTCTAAGGCTGTAGTCTCTCTCTCTCTCTCTTTTTTTTTTTTTTTTGGATTTTGATAATTGTGATTTGGGTGAGTTTACAGAGCACATTGGCTTTCCACTCAATAATCCATACATATTCTGTTTAGTGACATTTACTGCAGTGCCCACACTGTAACAGCATTCTTTCCACTTCTTCCCTGTGCCCACCCCGCCTCTTCATCCTTCCTTCCTATCTGTTCCTCCCTCACTAGCTCTGTACCTGGGTAGATACTGTCCTCTTGATCTCATATGCTTCCTTGTTCTAATAAGAACATACCCTTTGGATTACTATTCACCTTATAAGCCTGTCTACTGTTTGGCTGAAAATTGAGTCATGGAGTGAAATTCAGTTCCTTGCTTGAAGGGTATCTAAGGACCATAGTCTCTGGAGTTGTATCAGTCTTCATCAGACCAGTGAGTCTGGTCTTTTTTTTTTTTTTTATGATTTTCAGTTTTATTCCATATTTTCCCCAGTCTATCTGGGACCTCATATTATGATTCCTTTCAGAACAGTCAGGAGTGGTAGCCAGGCACTATCTAATTCTTCAGGTCTCAGGGTCATAGACGCTGGGGTTCATGTGGATTATTAGTCCTTTGGACTAATTGTTTCCTTGCATATTTGATTTTCTTCACTTTTTTTTTTTTTTGCTCCAGTTGAGGAGAAACCAACAGTTGCATTAGATGGCTGCTCACAAGCTTTTAAGTGACTTTTAAGACAGTGGTTACTCACCAAAGTAGAATGTAGAACATTGTCTTCATGGACTATATCTTGCCAATTGACTCTAGTGTCCCCCAAGACTACGGTCCTGGGCCTCCGTGCCCAGCAACTCGTTCCCTCAAGGTGTTTGGTTATGACTAAGACATTTTCATAACTTTGCCTCCTGTATACTCTACTACATTCATGGATACATTTCCAGCACATATAAATACATATGTTGTTGTTGTTGTTATGTGCTGTTGAGTTGGACCTGACTCATAGTGACCCCTCCTTGGGTTTCTGAGGCAGTATCACTGTGGAAGTAGATTGCCCAACTTCCCTTCCAAGGAGTGGCTGGTGGGTTTGGACGACCAGCCTTCTGGTCAGCAGTCAAGTGCCTCAGGCACTACGCTACTAGAACTCCTAAATACATAGGTAGAGGTATCCTTTGTCAAACCTATATATATATTCATGACTATAGTCCCATTCATAAGGTGGAATCTTTATGGAAGCAAACTGCCACATCTTTTTCCTGCAGAGAAGCTGGTGGGTTTGAACCACCACTGTAACAGCAAGGCTCCTTCAGTGTTAGCTATAGCAAGGACAATTCCACTAAGATCTCCTCGTATTACTCTCATTTCAGACAACATCTTAGATAGTGATAAAAGAGAATATGGATAGGACAGTCTCTTAAGAGTTTTTGTAAAGGAAACACTATCTGCCCACACGCTACCCAAACTGTTTCTACATCCATGGAGTAATAGGGTTTCCAGGGTTTTATCTTTTTATTAAGAAAACCAAAGCCAAACCAAACTAGTTACAATTAAGTAAATTCTGATTCATGGTGACCCCATGTGTTATAGAGTAGGACTGCACCATAGGGTTTTCTTGGCTATAATCCTTAAGGAAGCAGATTGTTGGGCTTTTTTTTTCCATAGAGTCAATGGTGAGTACAAACTAGCCACCTTTAAGTTAATAGTTGAGCATAAACCATTTTACACCACCCAGGGAACTTATCAAGAAAGGAAGATTGTAAAAACAATGTACTGCATTTGACTCAAATAGTTATTGAGACAACTCCACACACTCTATTGTCTGTGCTTCAAGGGACATAAATGGAGTGAAGTAGCCTGAGGTCTAAGAGGGGGAAGAGAAAAGCACTACTCCCTCCTTGGCAGAATGTGCTCATATGTACACGGGATGATGAGATGGTGGATGAGAGGGAGAAGAATTCTGGTAGGTCAAGTGGAGGCATGACCAAAGGGTCCTTGCAGGGCCCTGTACTTAGCTAGTCTTTAAACTTTGAGCTGAGCCGGCTATGAAAAGATGACGAGTCCATCTGGCACTGGAGTGTACTTTAATTTGAATGCCACCTTTTAAGCCAAGGATTTCAGGCCCTGATGCCTATGAGAGAATCGTGAATGAGTGACACAAACAGACGGGGTGTCAGAACCCAGTTGCAGGCTCTAACCCCTGACAGAAACTGTTTCTCAAAATGGAGATTGACCTTTCCATGTTTTGAGAAGATCTGTGTATCTGGATTTTTATATGGAATTTTCCTATTTTTAGATCTGAATGAATTCAATAACTACTTAAACATTGTATGGGTCAAAGAAAGCACATCTTTGTTGGCAGGGCTGGCTCAGCCTCCCTTGACAGTGCCCTCTCTGTTTTAAGTTATCTTCCTCTTGAGCCTAGTACTCAAGTCTTTTAGTGCAACTTAAGTTCTAGGGGAGGAAGGGGTATAGAGTTCACTAGAGAATGAAGCATGTTCACCATGACAGGCTGTTGATGCCACCTCTTTGCCTCGTGACACTTCAAGCCAGCCTTGCTCACGCATATTCTAATGTCCTGTGATCACATTCTTTTCTGGTAACTTTCAGCTTTCCATGGAGATCCAGTACTCCCTGGCCAACCACCTGCAGGCCTTAGTGAAGTCAGAGAAGAACCGCCAGGTCATGTGTGAGGCGGGCATGCTCAGCACCCTCATGACCACCTGCCACAAGGCCCTGGTCACCAGCAGCCACCCCTTGCACCTGGGGCTCATCAGGATTTTCGAGAAGCTTGCCTCCCAAGCCATCACACCTGATGTACTAAGGTACTGTGAGCTGTGCATTGGATGTTTCTGCTGAACCCCAGCCACTGTTTTCATTGCTGCAGGCACATACTGGTCAGTGTAGAGTTAATGAGGGAGTCTGATGCCCCCTCCTGCCCTGACCCAGCATTTGTCAATAGATGCCCACAGATGAGCACAGGCTCTGTGTCTGGCAGTGTGTGGTGCTGGGACAATGAAGCCTGCAAAGTAGACATAACCCTTTTCTCCTGGAGCTGAGTGTCTTAGGGGAGAAATGGACATTAATTAGAGGATCATACAGAAAATTACAGAATGATGGCCAGGGAGATACTTAGAGGTACAGACAGGAGATTGAGGGGCTTCAAAGAAAAGAAGCTTGAGCTGATCTCTGAAACCAGTGTAGGAGAGGCAGTAACAGGGTGCAAAGGCACCAGTACATGCATTTGGGGCTATGAGGGACTGATTGTGGCTGCAGGGAACTGGGCAGGAGGGACAGTAGGCAAGTGAACAGGAGGCACTGCAGAAGCAACAGTAGGGAAACTGGACTAGAAGAGAAGACAAAGACAGTGCTTGGCTATCTCCTGGTGAGGCCTTCTCATGAGTAGCCCCTCCATGAAGCCACATGTTTCTGGAAAAGAAGGTGCCCTACACAGGAGGAAGCAGACATAGTAGCCAAAAAGGCAGAGGAAAGAAAGGCAGTAGGAGGAAGGGGTGGGAATCTTCTAAGTACTCATGGCCTGGCCACCTCTCCCAGGTGCTATAGGATGTGTTGGGCCCTGTTTATACTCAGGAGTAGTGGGGAGGGGACTGGCAACAGCCCCTTCCCCAACCATCAGGCATGGGACTTCAGAGTGAGCCAATGTGGGGTGACCCAGGGCTAGGATAGTTTTCTCCAACACCAGGGAGTGCAGGTTGGCAGACAAAGCCACCATGCTTAAGAGAGCTGTTTATTCAATCCCATTAGAAATTTACAAGCAATGTGAGATAAGGTTATTTTCCAGCAAATTCCTTTTCTTCCTAAGGCCTTGTTTGAGGCTCTTTACTGGCCCCTGGGTAGATCAAAGCCCCTAACTCACCTGCTTTCTGATCTTGGTGCCAGGACAAAAGTGCACTGTCTGGGTGGCTTGCAGAAAAGGCCTTCCACGCAGAGGGAGCAGAAACATGGAGGGTCAGGGTGCTGACCACCCAGCACTGGGTGTCTAAGTAAGTGGGCAGGAAGCAGTTGGAAAGAACGTTTGCCTATAAAATGTCTTCATTTGCTTCTATTATATGCTATGATATCAGACAGTTCCTGGGCCTTGGAATCCCCCAATTTGCACCAGCTGCCACAAAAATTCTCAATCCATCCAGTGTGCATGGAGGCAACTCTGGATGCTCAAGTGAGGACAGAAGAAAGGGTAGGTGCTTATTAATGGGGATTTAAAAGGAACATGTAGTTCTCAGCAGACAGAAAAAGTAGACAGATTGAGAAAGGGTTGTACACAATATACATTGGAGCAGATGAGGAAAGGAATGGGTGCTGGTGGTCACGGGGAGAACACTTGGCTTAGGAGGGGAAAGCTAAGCACCCTCCCCTCCTTTATATGGCAGATGATGGGGAACACATCTCTTGAAGGGCACCTAGGCCCCATGTAGTAGAAACAGAATAGTGCTTCCCTCAGAGCTAGTGTGTGCCAAAGTGCCCAGTGCTGTGACTATGCAAAGGTCATGGTGAAGGTTTTCAGAGCGAGTCACAGCTCAGGGGCAGGAGGCTATCCCAGATACCCAGCCTGTACTTTTGTGAATGATGGTACAGGAAACCAGTCTGGAGAAAAAAAGGTCATGGATAGGTTGACTGTAAGGCTGTATAGAACATTAAGGCAAGAAGGCTCAGCTGAAAAGCAAGGGTGGAGAGTTGGGGAGACAGCCCACCCATGAGTGGTAGAGCTTGTGAGTAGATAGCCTGCTGTGAAGGAGAAAGCCCTGGGGTGACTTCGATGTGCTAGCATGTGGGCTGGAGCATCTAGAACTAAAGGGTGGAGTGGAGAAACATTATCACATCAGCAGAGGGCACAGGTGGGAGGGCCAGGGAGCAATCCTCAAGGTGGTTAGGAAGCCCTGGTGGTGTTGGAGAGCCCCCATCATGTCCGTAGCAGAAATGTAGGGTCCTGAATGGTGCTCACAGTTTGTCAGTTCAATTCCATCCACTAAAGAATGGTCTGAGGATCTGCTTCCATAAAGATTATTGCCAATAAAACACCATGAAACAGTTCTATTCTGTACCACATGAGGTTATCATGAGTCAGAGTTGACTAGATGGCAACAGGTTTAGGTTTGTTTGTTTGTTTGTTTTGATAATCAGGAAAGGAGCATAAATGCATTGGACAAGGACACATCTCTTCATTTGTTTGCTACCTTAGGGTCTGAGGCAGCAGCACTTGGTGATGCCGAGGGTCCCATGGATGCTGGCCCTGGAGTCTCACAGGCCCTCAGGCCCTTGGGGTTGTCCCATAGCTCAGCAGCTGCCCTCCAGATGGTGCTGAGCCTCATCTCCATGACCTCCCCTCGGAACCTGCAGCCTCAGAGGGCAGTCCTAGCTCCATCGTTTGTGGAATTTGACATGTCCACAGAAGGCTATGGGTACAACAGGCTTTGTATATTTATGTATTTGAAGTGCACTTTCATAATGTCACAATGCCTCAGGTGAATTATGCTGTCAATTACAAACTTGTCATTTCCATCAGCCCTTGGCTCTCAGCCAAAGAGAGTGATTGGGTTGTAGACATCCTCCATGGCTTCCTGGGGCAATGTCTCTGTCCTGACTATTGATGTGGCCACTTTCCAAATGCTCTCCCCTGTCTCCAGTAAGGAGTACCTCCTTTAGAACCCATCCTGCCAGCATGTGCTTGTCATGTGCTTAGGCTCCACAGTCTAAGGGGGGCAGAGGACCCTGAGGAGTACACAGCAGGGGAGGGTCAAGTCCCAGGCTAACTGTGTCTGTGGGAGAAGTTTGCATGTGGTGCAGTGATCTGAATACACCTCCTGTTTTCCAGCTGCCTGTACATTCCTACCCTGTCTACGGTTATGGGCTCCAGCACTGAGTACTCAGTCTCTGGAGGAATTGGGACAGGTAGGTGTTTCTTAGATGTTGTGGTCTTCTGAGCCTTCCTCATTCCAACCAGTCCTTGGCCCCAGGGAGACGCAATCTTTTAAAAAATCAACCATGAGAAATCAGAAGGGCACCATTTGCACAGGCAGACAGTTAGACAGGAATGCATAGGTAAGAAGGACACAGGGGGGATAGTAACAGGGAGAAGATAGGAGGAGAGCTCTTTGTTGCTGGGACTTTAATCAGTGCCATGGAAAAAAATATGTATGAATTGTTGAGAATGAAATGAATCTGCTTTATAAATTTGCAGCCAAATCACACACACAAAAAATTAAAACAAAACAAAGTCTTTGGGCTGTAGCCTTGAGTTCAGATTTTCCCTTGGCATCTCAAGAAGGCATGAGTCTTCTCCATGGTTCTAAGTATCTGTAGATAAGTTGTCCTACAGACGGTAAGTTTGTTCATGCCCCTTTTATGGCAAGGGTGGCCTATCCATTGTGTATTTCTTTGTCTCAGTAAACTGCTCTGTAATGTTTACAAACTTCATGGGTGATTTTGTGGCTGAGCCTAGGATGTGACTCATTTTGTTTGTGGTTGACATGGGCTGAAATGGAGGTGTCCACTCTGCCTTTCTTCCCCTCCTTCAAGAGCAATATAAATTCTTTGCTAACTGCCACCCAAGAACAACCCTGCCCTTGGCAAGTGGCTCACAGTGTGTGTATATGTGGAGTACTGCATGGGACTGTGATGGGCTTTGCTCAGCTGAAAACTCACTGGCCTAGAACAGTGCAAGTGGTCAGGGCTTCTTGAGCCAGGCATGTCTACTGTGGTGGCAGGAAGGGTGGTGCTGAGAAGCCATTGTCTTTGTGGCCCATCAGTGCATGAGCATAGCCCTAAATCTGTAGATAAAGCCACTGGTTCTGCTTGTTCTGCCAGGGCAGCACACCCTATCTGCATTGCCAAGACTATTAGGAGACAGCTGAACAAAGCCAGTGTCCTCTGCCCTTATAATGCATATGTCCTGGCTTTAGCTCAGCTGGCTAGGGGGTCCAAAAGCTGATGGGACCTAGGGGTTTTAGCTCTTTCTTTGCTCCCTTGTCAAGGAAGCTTGAGGTAATACATAGGACAGACTTAAAGTAAGGCATTGACGGCTCAAGGTCAAATTTAGACAAAAATATTACTTGTTTTCTGTGAGGTACCTTCTGCTAATATAAATAACAAAGTTGGCACTCCCTGCCATGAAGTCAGTGTTACATATTGCTTGTGTTACGGGAGGCATGGGGCCAGCACATAATAAGTCTATGGATGAACCTGCTCTTCTGCAGGACAGAGACTAAGGGCATGTTTTGTTCTGATCCCAGGTGTTGCCAGATCCTTCCCTCCCCCTGGGGGCCTGACCTTCTCTTGTTGGTTCCTGATCAGCCAGCATGGTGCTACCTTTGGCGGCCACCCACTCCGCTTCCTCACACTGGTGCGCCACCTTTCCAGGACAGAGCAGCCCTTTGTCTGCTTCTCCATCAGCCTCTGCCCTGACGACCTCTCCTTGGTGGTGTCCACAGAAGAGAAAGAGTTCCAGTCTCTGGGTAAGGTTTGGAGATCCAATGATGGATCCAATGTGGCTCAGTTAGAAGCTTTCAGTACATGTATCGCTAGGAGCCTGGGTACCTCCGCTCCTCCCAGTCTTTTAAAATTGCTTGCCTGAGTTCTAGACCTGGTGAAACATTGAAACAAAGATTTGTTTTGTGGCTGTTGTGGTCCAGATGCTGAGTTATGACTATAAGCAGACAAGTCCTGGGCCTCAGTATGGCTTCAGAGGCTTGGTTTTCTAGAAACTCAGAGCTCTCCTGGAGAGTGGTCATGCACAGTAAGTGGGGCTTTATCTTACTGGGACACCATCTATGTTGTCTCCAGAGCATATTTTGTGAAAAAGACACACAACTTAGCCAGACTCAAGTGACACTCATGGCAGTGGTAGAATTCTCACTTTCTATGCATGAGACTCTGGTAATTCAAACCCACCAGCCACTCCTCAGAAAGAAGGTTGGGCAATCTACTTCCATAGTGATACCACCTTGGAAACCCAAGGAGGGATTGCTATGAGTTGGGGCCGACTCTATGGCACATAACAACAACAACATGCATGAGACTCATGTTTGATTCCCAGCCGATGAACCTCATGTACAGCCACCACTCATCTGTCAGTGGAGGCTTGAGTGTTGCTATGATGCTGAACAGGTTTCAGTGGTGCTTGCAAAGATGGGCTAGGAAGAAAGGCCTGTCAGTCTACTTCTGAAAGATCAGCCATAGAAAACCCTATGGAACACAGTTCTACTCTGACACACATGAGGTCACCAGGAATTGAAATCAACTTGGCAACAACTGGTTTGGGGGCAGAAAGTAAGAGCTCAATGAAAGATTGCTATTGTCATTCTCATTGCTTTAGAGAGGAGGGACTAGACATAGGCTGAAGAGGTGAAAATTCCACATTGGTTGATCTAGGACGCCCTTTCCTCAGTTCTCCTGGGTTGCTGGAGCACCCACTACATGTGAAGTCTGGTGTTTATGCTCTCTTCTAGATGCTATGGAGCCTGAGGATGTTGCTGAGCCTTCTGCAGGACGCCAACTCCAGGTCAGATGTGGGCAACTGCTGGCTTGTGGTCAGTGGCATCATCTGGCTGTGGTGGTCACCAAGGAGATGAAAAAGAATTGCACTGTTTCCACCTATCTGGATGCACAGATCATTGGCTCAGCCAAGGTGAGAAGATGCTCTGAGCTGAGCATCCACACTCAGCTAAGCCTCCCTGCTGTACCATCCCAGAGTGGTTGGTAGCTAATGTAACCCCACCTTGCTGGCCAGGATACTTGGCTGAGCTTGGAAATAAAAAAAGACATCTTTAGAAAATAGATGAAGGTCACACAACCAGGACTGAAGACAAAAAATGGGCATAGACTTATAAGGATATTTATTAAACAAACAAATAAGCAAACCCAGTTGCTGTAGAGTCATCCCTGACTCACGATGATGCCATGTGTGTCAGAGTAGAACTGTGCTCCATAGGATTTTCAATAGTTGATTTTTCAGAAGCAGATCACCATGCCTTTCTTCTGCAGCACTTCCGGGTACACTTGAACTTTTAACCTTTCAGTTAATAGATAAGTGTGTCAACTATTTGTACCATTTAGGGATCTAACACAGGATAGTTACAAGAAGATCTCAATCTTCAGAGAAGTCCTTGACTACAGCAAGCCCACACCCTATCGGATAATGAGTTAAGAGGTGCTTATTAGAGTATTTGAGCTTATTTTGGTGATTTTTGGGAGAGTTCCAAGAGTTGGAGGTCTTTTCCAAATTAGGGTTTGCCAGAAGAGGGACACTTTCTTTGGTGACTGTATGTTAGTAACTTGTAACCAGAAGGTAGGAGAAATGGAGGAGGACTAGAGTTGTCATTGACGAATAAGTATTGGTAACTCATATTGGCTAGGGAAGGGATGTTTGGACACTTCTGAGGTTACACGTGTCTTTGTCTTTACTCTGTTCAGGTAAAGCTATAAAACAGGTTTGTATAAGTCTTCTTTTACAGAATTTATTGGCATTCTGTCTTGTTTCAAAGAATATGTAGATATTCTGTGAAATTGTTTATGTTCATTGACTTTGAGGGTAAGAAGTGTGTTCTATCAGTGTTTTTGCTTTTTTTATACCTAGCACACAGTATGCACCTGACACAGGGCTGGCAACAAAAGCATGCAGTGAACACTTCATGCATTGAATATAATTTATAGCCATAAGAAGTCAAATGGACCAGTTGGTAGTACACTTAGGTGAATTGGTATATGGATAAACACTCAACCCCAGAGAAGGTTGGGAGTGGTATGATACAAAGCTCTGGATAAAGATAAGCCATGAAGAATGACCAAGACCCAAGTCTGACAGAGTTGACTTTTCAGGATGATCTCAACAAGTTGGGTCAGGACAAGCAAGTGAAATTTAACAGGGATAAACATAAAGGCTTGTGCTTAGATGCACAAATCCATTGGCAAATATAAGATGGGAGAGATTCTGCTTAGGTTTGGGATGGCCCGGCTTAACAGTTCTCAAAATATTAGAGCCTTTGTTTATATTCCCCAGGGAAGGTAAGTCAAACTTAGAAAAATGGGCATTATTTTAGTAGTCTGAATTGAGCAGAATGATTTGAGAACAATTTGAGACTTTGCATGTTTATAAGTCAGCCTGAATGGTGTAGTGAGTATATGCTGTAGCAATTTGGAAAGAAGAGAGCAAGGTGGGTTGGAGTGATGTGGGAAAGAAGAGTCTATTTGGCAGGATAGAGAGGGGAGACCTCATTCTAGCCAAGACTTGGTGACTGAAAAACTTGTTTTTATTTGAAAATCTAAAATGGTAAAACAAAATAAATTTTTGAAATTACCTATTTTCTCTTTTAAAATATGTGGTTATATATGTATTAACGTGTATATTGATATTGTAACTCATTGCTGTCAAGTTGGATCTGACCCATAGCAACCCTTCTTGGGTTTCTGAGGCAATATCACTATGGAGGTAGATTGCCCAATCCAAAAATGGCAGAACTACATTCTAAAATAACTGGAGAAAAAGAGAAATAAAGAAAGTCTGCCCACATTCTTTCTACCTTATGATATTTGTAGTTTCTTTCAATTTTTTCTCCTTTTTTTTTTTTTAAATGGTTGTGGCTTCACTGTAAAGAAAATTTTGTGCCCTGTTTAGTTGATTTGTTTGTAGTTGTTGTCAGGGAGCTCTGGTGGTGTAGTGCCTAATGCATTTGACTGCTAACCAGAAGGCTGGAAGTTCAAACTCATCAGCCACTCCTGGGAAGGAAGGTTGGGCAATCTACTTCCATAGTGATACCACCTCAGAAACCCAAGGAGGGGTTGGTATGAGTTGGATCCGACTCAATGGCAGTGAGTTTTTGGTTGTTGTCAAATCAACTCCAACTCATGGCTACGTTATGTATAATAGAATGTAATATTGCCTGGTCCTGAGCTATCGTGATCTTTGCTGTGTTTGAGTCCATTGCTGTTATTGTTGTATCAATCTATCTTATGGAGGGTTTCCTTCATTTTCATTGACCCTTTACTTAAGCAAACATAATGTCCTTTTCTTGTAATACATCTTTCCTGATGACTTGTCCAAAGTAAACAACCTGAAGTCTTGCCACTCTTGCCTTTTCTGTCAGCCCATGGTATATTCTTTGACAACACAACAATTCAAATTAGATTAAGTTCATCTTAATCATCAAAGTGACATCTTAACTTTTTAAAACTTTGAAGAGGTGACTTCTGGTAAGATGGAGGAATAGGCAGACAAGCCACACAGACCCTCATCAACAAAGAAAAGACAAATCAACCGGCAGAGATAAAGAAGATAATCCTGGAGCCTTGAGCTTTGAAAGGAAGTACACAGAAGTGGATGAGGCACCAACTATTGGAAAAACCTGAATGAAAGCAGTGAGTACAGAGACAATTGGAGCAGCAGACTGTAAGCTACTCTGATGGGACCAACAGCCTGAACATTTCCAAGTGGTGTTGGGACTGAGAATTGACCTGAAGATCAGCCCTGGTCGCCGTGGGATACAAGGACAACTGCGCTGGTGCTCTGTGACTAGGAAAGGAAACAACAAGGAGGGAGACAACCTGAGCTGTGAAGTTTCCACTGTATGAAGGGTGCAGCCATTTTGAATGTTTATAAGCAGTGGCCATTTTGGATATTTAATGTGATGAGGGCACAGCCATTTTGAATGTTTACAAGCAGTGGCCATTTTGGATATTTAAAGTGACTGAGGGTGCAGCCATTTTGAATCTTTACAAATGGCAGCCATTTTGGATTTTAAAGTGACAGCATTCTCATATGGATTCCAGGGACCTAAGGATAGGCTCTGATTGCCAAGGATGGCAGGGACATACAAGAACCTGACAACAGGAAAGGAGACAGGTGGTGAGTGTATAAGTGCTGTCAACTAGCAAATAGAGGAGCACAGCACAGTACCCTGCTTATATAGATAACATACAAACAAAACAAAGAAATTGAAAATCATGGGCAAGTCACTCCAATGCACAATCACCAATTAAATATAAACACAATGCCTCAGAGACAACAGAGCATCACAGTCCACACAAAGAAGCAAGATAAAGCAGGAGAGACAAGGGACCAGAATACAGGCCCCAAACACATCCCTGATAAGGAATTCAAAAGATTTATATTTAGGTATCTTCAATGAATTGAGAGACAGATCAAGGAAAACACTGACAAAATTGAGGAAAACACAGATAACCCTACAATGATTTTGAAAGACAATACAAGAATGAAATGACAAAATAAATGAAAAATTAGAAGTGAAGCAAAATATACACACAGAAATGCAGAAGATTAATACTAAATTTTCAGAAATAAATAAGACACTGAATGGGCAAAGGAGTAGAATTGAATCAATGGAACAGAATTAGTGAGATTGAAGGCAAATACCTGAATACTTCTTTGGAAAGGGATAAATCAGAAAAAAACGATCAAAACAAAATGAAAAAAGCCTGAGGTTCATGTGGGATACCATTAAAAGGAATAACCTACGTGTAATCGGAATTCTAGAACAGGAAGAGACAAATAAAACCACAGAGAAAATTGTTGAAGATTTGTTGGAGGAGAACTTCCCTGATACGATGAAAGATGAGAATATATCCATTCAGGAAGTCCAAAGAAACCCAAAGAAGATAGACCCCAAAAGAAAATCACAAAGACATATCATCATCAAGCTCACCAAAACCAAAGACAAAGAAAGAGTCATGAAAGCAGCATGGGAAAAATGAAAAGTTACCTACAAGGGACAACCAGTAAGACTAAGTTCAGATTTCTTGGCAGAAACCATGGAGGTGAGAAGACAATGGGATGGTATATATAAAACCCTGAAAGAGAAAAATTTCTAACCAAGAATTACATACCCAGCAAAATTGTCCCTCAAATATGATGGTGTAATAAGGACATTTCCAGATAAGCAGAAATTAAGGGAATTTGTTAAAACCAGACCAACATTACAAGAGATGCTAAAGGCAGTTCTTTGGACAGAGAACCAACAACAGCAAACAACAACCAACCATTAAGACACATGATGACATAACCCAGAAACCAACCCAGCTATTGAAGTATCCAAAGTAAATAAGCCTATGAGATGGTAAACAGAGAACCAGAGACATCATTTGACAAATGAGGACAACTATAAACCAAAAAGAAGGAAAAACCATGTCATTACAGAACTTCTAGATGGTAGGGAAGTCAAGACAACTACAAGATAGAATGGACTGTTTGAAAATTGGGAAGAAAACTATAAACCACAGGGTAACCTCAAAGAAAAATGATAAACTTTCACATCAAAATAAAACACAGGAACAGCACAAATATTTAGCAAATACTAAAGCAATAGCAACAAAGGAAGTGATAACACAATCTATAAACAAAATGAGCTCAGCATAGAAAATTATATTGTTGTTATGTTGTTATGTGCCATCGAGTGGCCCCGACTCAAAGCGACCCCTCCTTGGGTTTCCGAGGCAGTATCACTACAGAAGTAGGATTGCCCAACCTTCCTTCCGAGGAGTGGCTGGTGGGTTTGAACCACCAGCCTTCTGGTTAGCAGTCAAGTGCCTTAGGCACTATGCTACCACAGTTCCTAGAAAATTATATGGAACAAAGAAATCAACCCCACGAGAAAGCACATAACAAAAATGACAGCA